TCGTGCGTGTCGAGTGCGCGAAATGCAGGCGAGAGTGCGATTTGTCCGGTGCCCGCGCAACCCTCTGCGGAGATCGTGCGTGTCGAGCGCGCGAAATGCAGGCGAGCACTGGCGACTTTGCAGTACAACTTTAGTACGCGGGGTATCTGGGGAGCTGGAAGATGAGAACTGGTGAGAGAACTGGCGACTTTGTAGTACAACTTTAGTACGCGGAGCAATCTGTGGAGCTGGAAGCTGAGAACTGGCGACTTTGTAGTACAACTTTAGTACGCGGAGCAATCTGTGGAGCTGGAAGCTGAGAACTGGCGACCTTGTAGTACAACTGTAGCACGCGGAGTATCAGAGAGCCCCACAAGAGTGTCCCGCAACAGTGTCTCACAAGAGTGTCCCTTAAGAGTGTCCTACAGGAGTATCCCACAAGAGTGTCCTACAAGAGTGTCCCACAAGAGTGTCCCACAAGAGTGTCCCACAAGAGTGTCCTACAAGACTGTCCCACAAGAGTATCCTACAAGAGTGTCCTACAAGAGTGTCCCACAAGAGTGTCCCACAGAGTGTCCCACAAGAGTGTCCCACAAGAGTGTCCCACAAGAGTGTCCCACAAGAGTTTCCTACAAGAGTGTCACACAAGAGTGTCCCACAAGAGTGTCCCACAAGAGTGTCCCACAAGAGTGTCCTACAATACTGTCCCACAAGAGTGTTCTATGAGAGTGTCCGACAAGAGTGTCCCACAAGAGTTTTGCACAAGAGTGTCCTAGAAGAGTGTCCCACAAGAGTTTCCTACAAGAGTGTCCCACAAGAGTGTCCTGCAAGTGACCCACAAGAGTGTCCCACAAGAGTGTCTCACAAGAGTGTCCCATAAGAGTGTCCTACAAGAGTGCCCCACAAGAGTGTCCTACAAGAGTGTCCCACAAGAGTGTTCCACAAGAGTGTCCTATAAGAGTGTCCCACAAGAGTGTCCCACAAGAGTGTCCCACAAGAGTGTCCCACAAGAGTTTCCTACGAGAGTGAACCACAAGAGTGTCCCACAAGAGTGTCCTACAAGAGTGTCCCAGAAGAGTGTCCCACAAGAGTGTCCTACAAGAGTGTCCCACAAGAGTGACCCACAAGAGTGCCCTCCTACAAGAGTGTCCCATAAGAGTGTCCTACAAGACTGTCCCACAACAGTGTCCCACTAGAGGAGTATCCCACAAGAGTGTCCTACAAGAGTGTCCCACAAGAGTGTCCCACAAGAGTGTCCTCCTACAAGAGTGTCCCATAAGAGTGTCCTACAAGAATGTCCCACAAGAGTGTCCTACAAGAGAGTCCCACAAGAGTGTTCCACCAGAGTGTCCTATAAGAGTGTCCCACAAGAGTGTCCTACAAGAGTGTCCCACAAGAGTTTCCTACAAGAGTGACCCACAAGAGTGTCCTACAAGAGTGTCCCAGAGGAGTGTCCCACAAGAGTGTCCTACAAGAGTGTCCCACAAGAGTGTCCCACAAGAGTGTCCTCCTACAAGAGTGTCCCATAAGAGTGTCCTACAAGAATGTCCCACAAGAGTGTCCTACAAGAGAGTCCCACAAGAGTGTTCCACCAGAGTGTCCTATAAGAGTGTCCCACAAGAGTTTCCTACAAGAGTGTCCCACAAGAGTTTCCTACAAGAGTGACCCACAAGAGTGTCCTACAAGAGTGTCCCAGAGGAGTGTCCCACAAGAGTGTCCTACAACAGTGTCCCACAAGAGTGTCCCACAAGAGTGTCCTATAAGAGTGTCCCACAAGAGTGTCTCACAAGAGTTTCCGACAAGAGTGTCCTACAAGAGTGTCCTACAAGAGTGTCCCACCAGAGTGTCCTACAAGAGTGTCGTGTAAGAGTGTCCCACAAGAGTGTCCTGCAAGTGACCCACAAGAGTGTTCTACAAGAGTGTCTCACAAGAGTGTCCCACAAGAGTGTCCTACAAGAGTGTCCCGCAAGAGTGTCCTACCAGAGTGTCCCACAAGAGTGTCCCACAAGAGTGTCCTATAAGAGTGTCCCACAAGAGTGTCCTACAAGAGTCTCCCACAAGAGTTTCCTACAAGAGTGACCCACAAGAGTGTCCTACAAGAGTGTCCTACAAGAGTGTCCCAGAAGAGTGTCCCACAAGAGTGTCCTACAAGAGTGTCATTTGGACATATTAGTTTTTGGATCGTGTTTGCATTCGGGTTCGTGGGTTCCATCTTGTTTTTATTGTGGCTTTATAGCTTGAGGACTACTAAATGTACTGGTGTAAATAGGCTTATTAAATATGCCCTCCAGAGCTGCAATAAGCAGAATGTGCTGTCGGTGGGCAAGCTGGAAACTTTGATGTAGGGGCTCTCAGACCTGTCACAGAACTTTGAAATATGTTACATATGTGGGGCCCTAGGCCCCCAGGCAACACACTTGGGTATGTCTGGAACATGCTTCGCCTCACCTCATAGGGCCTGAAAAAGGCAATTAAATCAAAAAAATAAACAACCCATATTAAATCCATGTTGTTGGAGAAGGGTGCAAAAATTGAACACTGTGTGATTATGTTTTTTCATGGTTTGGGCTGATTTGTAGTTCTATGGGTCGAACAGTTTGAGAAGGGTGTATATAGATCATACAAAAACCATAGAACACAATGTGCTTTATGGTTTTTATACGATTTGCACCCTTCTCCAACAATATGGATTTACCATGTTTTTTACAGAAAAGATACAGTGGCTCCAGAGCTCCAGGTTTGTTTAGCGGGAAGAATACACTCCGCAAAGGGTGTGGGTCTGGTGT